CTTTGATGTTTGGTGTCACGTTGTAATTAGTACCCGCTTTTGTATTACACCGTACTGTAAATATTTTATTCATCTAATTGTCTGTTATATAATTACTCACGTTCTGTTACTCATTGATCGAAGATGGCATAAGCATGCCAAAACATGTTTCTCAAAAAGTTGTCTATTTCTTACAATATTTATCATACTTGCTACTACTACGACCATATAAAATTCAGCCTAAAACAATATACCTCAGCTTCAGGCTCAGGTGAATAACCACAGAAGTTGCAGGGTTTATTCTACAGAGCCTCATGCTGAGGGCTATTGTTTTAGACTGAATTTTAATATTTTAAATTGGGCTATTAGTGCATGACTGTGCACAATGCAGAACCATAAAAGGGCATGGGCAATTGCAGAAATGAGCTTTGAATATTATTGTCTGCTCTTCATTATTCCCAGGCCTCTTAATTTGTTCTTTGTGTTTTATTAGTATTAGTGTCTCCTGCATTAGCAAACAATGTGTCATACTTCTGCAGATTATGTGGATAAACTCAGGGATGCCATGCACGAATTACATGACATGAATCCCCCACCAATGAACACCATGCTGGAGAAGCAGTCAAGGGAGGAGGCTATCCAGAAGAGAACTGAAAGGAAAAGAAAGACTGTCCAAGATGTGCCCCCAGTGACGTCAGGTAATGCACATTCTAAAATTTGCAATTTAAAGATATAAAAATGTGTCATTTTCATAGTACTTTTATGCCTCCTAATATTACTGACACTGTATGGTTGCAGACATAGTCAGCAAATGCTTGGAACAGTTTAACCCCACTATCTAAACATCCTTTCTAAGGCTAATAGCCCATTTGCGAATTACCCTTGGCCTCATTTTCCAAACAAGTCTTCGTGCCAATCCTTTCTTACGATAATAAGTTTCCATTCACATGCAAATTAAACTCATTTTCCCAAGAATGGTTGAGCACGAGGACTCATTTTGAAAATGAGGCCAAGGCAAATTCGCAAATAGGCTATTACAAAACACTTGTTTGTTTTAGTTTCCGTGACTGTTATCCAGCAGCAGCCACAGACCTCCACATGATAGCCCCGATATTGTACTACCTGCAAACAACCTATGAAAAGGCCCAAAAACATACTAATTGCC